GCCTTCATGTGACGCAGGTTTGGAATGGACATGATTCTCACTTCAGGAATGTAACTCCTGTAAAGAAGAACAAAAATCGTTAGTTGGTTCATTTAATCAAATATACACTCTAAAAACAGCAAATAAGAGAATTTAGGTCACATACACAGGACTTACACTGCCACAAGCTGGATTTTTAACTTTATTGAAGTTGGATTAAATTCTGGTTTGCTCAGATTGTGCTCACATTTCTGAAATTAAAGGATGAGGAACAGTAATTAACAGCACATTTAAAGTGTTATTTAACCGTTTAAATCTGTTTTGCAGATTAGCTCACAGGTATTTAATACAAATATGAACTCAAAGAGCATTTCATCTATAAACTATATACATTTGTATTTTGTGGCCATTAAGATTTTTTTGTTCTTTGAAAGAAATTAATGCTTTTATTTAGCATTAAATTGATCAAAAGCAACAATACTGCTATTTTAAGTTCTTGTGAACTTTCTATTCATCAAACAATCCTAAAAAAAAAATAAGTATTTTTATATATAAAATAATAAAAAAAACAGTGATAATAATAAGAGCACCAAATCAGAATTTTTTTTTTTTTTAAATAATAATTTATTCGTCGGTTACTCTAATGTCCAGAAACATACAGATACAGTCTCAAACATACATTATGGGAAAAAAAGAGGAAGAAAGAAATATATATATATATATTTTTTTAATCATAACAGGCAGGAAAGTAATTATACCCAGTAGAATAGGGAATCGGGGGAGGTTATTAACATAGAATGATTTCTGAAGTATCATGTGACACTGAAGACTGGAGTAATGGCTTCTAAAAATTCAGCTTTGCTATCACAGGAATAAATTACATATTAAAATATACACTATATTGCCAAAAGAATTGGGACACCCCCTTCTAATGAACAGGCAAGGTTAAAAAAATAAATGATTGATTCAGTCAGTGTGGAAGAACTTGTCTGGTCTGCATAAAGCCAAGTCCTAATCCCAGCTGGACACCTCTGGTGTGACTTTAAATGCAGACCTTGAGCCAAAAACTCATCACCAAACACCAATGACTTGTACATATGGGTACAGTCATTTTAGACACTTCCAAAACTGTTGCAACAGAGACGGAAATACAATTTTTAAATACATGAATTATGTTTCCGTCTTTGTTGCCACAGTTTTGGAAGTGCCTTTTTCTGTTCTAAAGAAGGGGGTCCCAATACTTTTGTCCATATTGCGGATGTAGAAGTCATTGGTGTTTGGTGATGAGTTTTTGGCTCAAGGGGCTTTATTTATAAAGCGTGCGTATGCTCAGATTTGATCTTAGAGTGTGCGTACACTTAGATCCACACCAAGGCTCATATTTGTAAAAAATGGCTTTGACGTGGAAAAGTGCTTAGCGTCACATCAGACATACACACTTTTTCTTGGAGTACTACAGGTTTTTGAAAATGTAAGCTGTCATACGCACACTTTTACTGTCGTAATAGCGAAGTAATGATTTCAGATTCGCTCTTGCAGCTCTTTTCCTTTCAATACACACATTTAGATTAAATATTCTGCTCATTAATGGAGTTAAGCACTGACATTACATAACGTCATTATTCAAAAGTTATATTTTGATATTTAGACATCTGTCGTGAATGCGCTGTCTTTTGATCACTTTTCTTGTTGCATGCTGTTTTAATGACAGCGAGGAGTGCTAGGCATTAATGAATGTTTCTTTAAACTGCAGATCTCATGTTAAGAGAAAATATTTTTAGCAAGAACATCAACGATGCACACTTACTGAATTTGGTGGTCGAACGGTCCATTGGTAGGTTTAAATAGGTCCGATTATATTAGCCTACTGCACAACGAAGGCTGCACGGAGGTGTTTATTTCACGTGAAGGCAGACGACTTCTGCGATTTTCAGAACATTATGAAAATAGCATTGAGATTGAAGGATATAGTCTGAAGCAAATGGTAAGATTTGCACATTTCTTTTTTTATAATATTTTCTCAGTGACGCCATGCCAGACAATTATTTACACACACTGTATTTCTGATTCTACTATAATCTATTTAAATATCCTAAAACATATGTTAAATTTTCTAAAACATTTGATTTGTTTAAAACAATTATATACTGCTTTGACCAGTGGAAAAGAAAGAGATCCACTCTATACTAAAAAGATTCTCTGAGAAGTATTTTATACACGTTTGTTTTTACAATCATTTAGATATATGTATTCGAAAACAAGGACAGTGAATGATTTTTAGCAACGTAATGTACCGTACAAATAGCATTTTAGTCCGCATGTCATATTTTCCTGACGTCTTTTACCTTTGACGGTGTTAAACATGGTGTCACGTGGATGGGAATATGCATAGAAATGACATGCAGATGAGGTTATGCATAGTAAAACTAGGCGTTGTAAGCTCCATATATGGTGATTTTGGGGCGGAGACGCATGTACGCACAATCTTCAGCTGACAGGGATTTATAAAGGGATTTTTGCGTAGGTTCTGGCTTTTGTGCATACGCCAAATCTAGCTTTTGTGTGCATGTACAGTTTTAGAATGAAATCTACATAAAGTTTTATACATGAGGCCCCTGGTCTGCATTTAAAGTCACACCAGAGGTGTCCAGCTGGGATTAGGACTTGGCTTTATGCAGACCAGTCAAAGTTCTTCCACACTGACTGAATCAATCATTTCTTTTTGAACCTTGCCTTATACACAGAGGCATTGTCATGTTAGAATAGAAAAGGGTCCTGTCCAAACTGTTGCTATAAAATTAGAAGCACACAATTCCTTAGATCAGTGGTTTTCAAACCTGTCCTGGAGTACCCCCAGCCCTGCACATTTTATATGTCTCCCTCATCTATCACACCTGATTCAACTCATCAGCTCATTAGTGGAGATTGCAAGACCTGAAGTGGGTGTGTCAGACATAGGGAGACATATAAAATGTGCAGTGCTGGGGGTACGTCATGGAGAGGTTTGAGAACCACTGCCCAAGAATATCATTATACGCTTAAACATTAAACATCATGGAAATTACTAAAGTAGTCAAACCTGTTCATTAGAAGGGGCCCAATACATTTGGCAATATAGTGTATTTAGATTTGTATTTTCTTTTATATAGGTAACATAAGAGACTCCTTTCAAATAGTATTTGTAAAGATTTTACAGAATACAAACTTTTGAATGGTAATCTATATAAAAGAAAATCAGGCTGAATGATATCAGCTCAGTAATTCAACAGCAGCTTCCTGAATGGCTTTCTTCGGATGTAAAGAGAAGCTGTGGATGTATTTACAAACCTTGCAACGCAGAGAGCGTTTCATTAGCAGGTGCTTGTGTCTGGGGTGCAGCTGTGAAGCTCCTGCAGGCTGAAAATCAGGCTGTAGCAGCCTCTGGCGAAGAGTCGTTACTGCATTGAAACACAAGTAACGCTTTAAAATATGCATCATATAACCACGTCAATAAAGATCTAGTCACGATCGCCTTTGGATAGCAAATTTGGTTCAATTATATAAATTTCAATTCTTACACATTTGATCCTGAACATGCAACCTCCAAAATCACCCTTTGTCACCTGTGAGTCTGGATCTATATGGCTGTGCCTGTGATTACTGCACTACAAATGGTATCAGATTTAAATGGTAATTAAGTAGTATTACTGGGTGAAGCAGGGATGAGACCAACCTTCAGGAAGGTTGACAGGACCAGTGTAATAGTCTTCAGGCAGGGGCTCCACTTCATCCAAAGCCTGTGCTGGCTCTACAGTGATCTCCTTCTGTTCCTCTCCTTCTTTTAATCTGAAAACAATACAGCATCATACAGACAAAGTCCACAATTTAAAAAATGATGCATCAATTATATTGGTACTCAACATAATTAAACCTGCCTTAACAAACACCACTAAGCAGAAGGATGTACCATAACATGTTTTTGAAAGGCAATACTTACGAAAGGCCATACAGGGCACTGGTTGGGGCTCCAGATCTCTGTCTCTGTAGTCTGGTTCCCAGTCCATACTTCTCCTTTCAGACATAAATACAGACCACATAAGTCTATGATAATAAAGAGTTATTCTAGGTTTAAGGTACAGCTCATTATTATTAGATGAATGCTAGTGTCAAAGTATTTGCTGAAATGGTGCATTTAGTAATAGTTAACAGTTTAAGCACAAACATTATCCAAAAACTTGCTTTCCAAGAAACCGATTGATTGACTAAATGATTGATTCTGGGTGAAATCTAGTTCTAAATCTATATAAATCAAATAAGTCTGCAGCTAAACTCCAAACATAAATACCAACCAACCAGGACTGTCCCATTAAAGATAGCGCCTGCCAAATACAAAGATTCGATTGTGCATAGAATTCCAAGTAGCAATAGTGAAGCTCATGTGATCAGCAAAGTCATTTAGTAACAGATTAGACATGCTAAACTGATGGAAGGATTGGGGGGGGGGGAGAAAAACCTTCTTAGTGTTTCTGTAAGAATTGTGGGGGGAAAAATACCACTCACCACCACGTGAATAGTGTGTTGCTGGAGAGGGGTATAAAACCAAAAATATCAGTGCACACAAGCAAAGAAAAGGAGAGAGACAGAATCAAGTGAAACAAATGCATTCAAGCAAACATTAAAGTGGCAGTTTGAAGCACAAGGAAACAAGGATTGCATTAGTGAACAAGACATGCAGCTCAAAGTAATGTCAGTAACCAGTCATGTATCACAGGTTTAGAAACTAACCATTTCAAGCCCTCATTTCTCCAAATTCTCAAAATTTAGTGCATCCTTGATTAAAACAAAAGCTTACTAACCCCCAACTTTTAAACTGTAATGTATATGTACACCAAACATTAGAATAAAAACATGTTTGTAGTCACATTTCAGACCCTGCTAGGTTTAGTAAACTTTGCCAGCTTTGATGCAAATTTAATGTAAAGATGATTTTAGTTTTGTACTAAATGTGCAAAAAAACTGGTTTAATTTATTGCACATTTTCACGATTAAAAATAAATAAATACATTATCACAACAAAATAGCATTACTTCAGTGTAACTTTTAAGTATTTTGACAAGACTCTGCCCATGTTTAAACTCTAAACAAGACAAACCACTCTCCCGTTTAGTGCTTACTAAATGGAAAGTAAATGTTAGGTTAGAAGGGTGTTTCTAGACAGAGTGGTGTGAATGTTTACCGAGAACGCCTGAGGCATGAACGGGCGTCTTCGTGCCAGCTTCTTCCTGTCTCTCTCCAGCTTCTCTCTGTGGGCCAGCTGCTGGTAATACTCAATCAGCTTGTTGATCTAAACAGAAATAATAACGGACTTGTCAGCTACTTGAGAAAGTCAGATAGAAAATGTAATATTAATTTAATAAAAGGAGATCTTGTTTAAACATACCCTCTGAGTATGAGGGTTTTCTGGTTCCTGCCATCCTCCACTGGCTAAAATATAAAACGAACAATGTTTACTACAATGTGCATGCAGATTAATGTTGTAATCACACAAAATGACAATATATCAAACATTTTTTGGTCACTTGATTCTATTTCTGTCATGTCCCAGCTCAGAGTGAAATATAATCGGCACAAAATCGCTGATTATTAAAATTCATATTCTGTGATGTGTCCGTTTAAATCTAGATTAAAGACCCATCTCTACACATAACACACTAACACATTTCTAATATTCAAATCCATTAAACACTTCCCATAACACCCGATGTACTTGCTACATTATGGAGCCAGAATTATCTCAATAATAATTCACGCAAAAGACGCGATGCACACATGCATAATTTTTTTTTTCACAAAAACCAATTCACGTGCACAAAAAGAAGAATATATATTCATAAAATACGTTTCACAAATGCAAAACACAATTCACAGATGTACAACTGTGTACAAAATTTTTGAATGTTAAAAATGACGTCAGTATCCAGGTAGGCACGCCCAGATTCATACGCCCACAGTGGGTTATAATTGGTCGACTGACAGGCTCAAATATGATTGGCTAAAGATTACAAGTGTCCCGCGTGGGAGGAGTTCGCTGCCAGGACAGTCTCAAAATTCACACACAAATCCAGAGCGATTCACATTCACAGCCCATGATAAACTCGTGAATTTTTAACATTCGAAAATGTTGTACATCTGTGAATTGTGTTTTGCATTTGTGATTTATGAATATATATTCTTAATTTTGTGCACGTAAATTGGTTTTTGTGAATTTTTTTTTTTTTTTTTCGTGCACGTGAATTATTTCTCATGCATGTGAATTGGGTTACGCATGTTTGCATCGCGTCTTTTGCCTTAATTATTATTGAGATCATTCTGGCTCCATACTACATCGTTAGAAGAATGGCATCTACGCTAATATTAGTCTGTTTCTTTCTTATTCCAAGGTCACCGTAGCAACCAGATCCAGTCCGTATCCAGATCAGATTGTCACTGCAGTCACCCGGATCCAGTACGTATCCAGCCCAGATGGTGGATCAGCACCTAGAGAGGACTTCTACAGCCCTGAATGTCAGCGGAGACCAGGACAACTAGATGAGCCACAAAGACAGATCCCCAGAGAGGACCTTGTCTCCTAGACAACCACCGGGACAAGACCACAGGAACCAGATGAGTCCTCTGCACAATCTGACTTTGCTGCAGCCTGGAATTGAACTGCTGGTTTCGTCTGGTCAGAGGAGAACTGGCCCCCCGACTGAGCCTGGTTTCTCCCAAGGTTTTTTCTCCATTCTGTCACCGATGGAGTTTTGGTTCCTTGCCGCTGTCGCCTCTGGCTTGCTTAGTTGTGGACACTTAATTTCCAGCGATATCGTCGACTTGCACAGACACTATTTAAACTGAACTGAGCTGGATAATGACATCACTGAATGCGATGATGAACTGCCTTTAACTAAAAATTTAGTGTTTACTATTATCATTTTTCATTATTGACAATATTTTCCTAATTAATGCTGTAATGTTTCTTTGACACAATCAGTATTGTTAAAAGCACTATATACATAAAGGTGACTTGACGAGTAGGGTTGGGAATCGAAAATTGATTCCGATTCCAGAATCAGATACTTAAGGTCAGGAATCGTATACTTGTCAAATTAACATTTTGATTCCGCTTATTGATTCCTATGCGCTTTTTTCTGTGAGGACCAGACCTAGCGATCTGCCAGGACTTTGCTCGCTAATCCAAGCACTCCAAAGTTTGGCTACATTTGCGATCAGAAGCCAAAAAAGCCAAGTATAATATCTGTGATAGCTAAACATGTTGCAAAAGAGGTGTCACCACCAAACATGACAAAGCACTTTAATTTAATAGATCGTTAAAGATCACGAACACGATTCAAAAACCAATGTGATTCTATTCCGAAAATTACAATGGTTCGTCTGTTTCATTCCTCAACTGTGTGCGATTAATGTTGTGATCACTTGGTTCGTCCGTGCAGAGTACGATCACACCAGTGTAATTTGAACATTTCAATTTGCGTTCGCGCTACCATTGACCTAAAGAGAGCAGCTGTCTGTCATGAATGAAACAGCTTCAGTCTTTTCAGCCACACAGTATCATTATATCTGTATTACAAACATTAAAATCACATAAATGTTTATAGTTCAGATATAAACTGTGTGTACGATGTATATAGTAGCGATTAAAAGAGTGAATCACCTTTTGAAAGTAATTTGACACTTCAAATGAAGATTTATCCATTACATTGTTACGCCAGTAGGTGGCGAAAAGGGGCTGTTAAAATGTATTTGTCTTTGAATCAGACAGGAGATTCGTTCAAGAACGCTGATTCATCCAGTAATGAAACAAGTACATCTTGAGTGAGTCATTTAATCATTAATTCATAAATTACATGTGATTTTGTTTAGTTGTCTAATGTTTTTTCTTCAGAATCTTGAGAGAACCACAACTTCCATTGAGGGAAAAAAAAGAAAAAAAAAACTCAATTTATCCAGAATCACGCAGTTCTATTTTGCACACAAACAGCTCTTAAAGAGTCCAGTTTTTATGTAGCCTGTTGATTTTTGTTCATGGTATTCATCGATAAGCAGAATCGGAACTGATAAAATTCCAACGATACCCAACCCTAGTGATGAGCTACAATTATGACTCTTTCCACAGTATTTCACATGGAGTGTTGTCAGTAAAATTACAGTAAGTGAATGCATCACTTCTAATCTAGTCAGGACATTACATTTATAGTATGCATAAAATTAACCCACATAAATACAACATAATTTTAAACTAAACCAAAATAACCATCTTTGATTAAATAGGACAGATTAAAGTTCAAATCATCCCGAGTTTACTGATGAACCAATACAGACACTGGTACATATATCCACATCAAGGAAGTGCAAGGACTCACCCACAGATTTGTCAGCCATGCCTACATCTCTTGAGGTCCAGCGACAAAATCCACAGGCCAGGTAGTAGGCCTTCTTCATTGTGGTTTTGGTTGGGTCATCAGGCAGTGGTGCTGGGATGTTGGTGGCCCGTGTGGAGAGGGTGTGCATACAGCATGGACAGTCAAAGCAATTGGCACACCTGAAACCAGTGGATCACAAAGAAGCATTCAACAGCATTATGAGGAAACACAATCTATCAGACCTGATATATTATCAGTCAGTTTTTTAAATAAATGTAAAAAGTGCAGCGAGTTTTGATGTGTCAAAACTTATAAATATGTCAAGCATGTAATTAGTTAATGATCAATTCCAAATTACAGATGATGTTAGATGATTGCTATTATTGCCGTTATTAATTCGCAAGCTTGTCAGATATTTAGCACAGATGCGGTTTACCTATTCTTCTTGAGCTTGGCCTCAGCTGACGGCATGTTCTCCAGACAGCTGGGACAGAAATGGGAATCGACCTATATAACAGGCATAACACCAAAAAAATTATAAGACAAAGCAAATGTGTTTTTGCTCAAGGAAATTGTATAACATGTATTGGAAAAGTACAGAAAGGCTAAATGGAACTTCATCATTGTGCCGGAGGTAAAACTCACACATTGCTTAAGTAAAAATAAATAAACAATAATAAAAATAGCACAAGCTGTCTGTACAGGTTGTGGTAGTGTTGCCTTCAAATAACACGAAAGGCTGCTGCAAGCGTTAACACATTAAATTTAGAACCTCATTGTTTTTTTTATGTACCTATGCACATAATGGAAACGAACGAACAGCAGATATTTAATTTCATTCATAATTATTCTGCTAGCTTTTAGCTTGTCACATCCCTAAAAAAAGTGGGTGGTGCAGAAGTTAACTGACTGGTTACACAGCCAATTGGATACCTCTATTGCCGTATAATTTATGACAGAACGATAAACTAGCCAATCACAGAACCAGAATTCGTTCCACTTCAACTGATAGGCGGGAACAACACTGTCATCATCACTAGCCTGTTAGCTCGCTCTTAGCATGGCTAACATCCATTGTGTCAACTAAATGTCACACCCCGCGTTACTTACTTCATGTGACACGCATTCCAGAGATCGCAGCTCAATGCAATATCGGCAAAAATACAGCTGAGAGAGCGGAACTCCAATCTTTTTCTCGCTTCGGACGAGATAAAGCACTTTCTCTGGCTGCATCAACGTCGCCATTTCTGACTGAGTTCCTGCTGCCTACGTAACGATCATGCGTCTTCTTCTTCTTCTTCTTCTGATGTTTATTGGCGGTTTTGGCAAACCAACGATCATGCGTCATCATAGATCATACGTGTTATTCTTCTTCTTCTTTCCAGTTTAACGGCGGTTGGCATCCAGCTAATTGGTGCATTACCGCCCCCTTCTGCTCCGGGGTGTGGATCAGCTAATAGGTTATAACAAAACTTAAAGGGGTCATATGATGCGATTTAAATTTTTCCTTTCTCTTTGGCGTGTTACAAGCTCTTGGTGCATAAAGAAGATCGGTAAAGTTGCAAAGACTAAAGTCTCAAATCCAAAGAGATATTCTTTATAAAATTTCAGAGTCAGCCACACCCTCCTAAAACGGCTCGTTCTAACACGCCCCCACATATCTACATCACGATGTGGGAAGATTTGCATTACGCCGCCCAAATGTTCACGCAAAGAAAGAAGGCGTAACTTTTATTCTCACTGTAGTTTTGTTGTTACCGCCGCAATGTCGTAAAGACGCTGTGTGCTTCGTTGTAAAAGTGAAACTACTTTGTTTGGTCTTCTAAAAGAGGACGATATCTGCTTCGTCATGCCTGGAGCTGATCCGTGCTGGTCGCTGAAGAAATACTACAACTTTGCGCTGTGGATCGCCGGATCGGCTTTCACCATGGTCGAAGCGGAGTCCAGCCCGGAGTCGTCACATGTCCTTCCGGACGCTCCTTCGTCGAAATCGCCGACCTTCTCAAGCCCGGCCTCAGCTCACTCTAACCTTCTCAGTGCAAGCTAAGCCGGGGCTTCCCCTCACGCTAGGCCGCTGTGTTTTTCGTTGTGAAAACGAAACTACTTTGTTTGGTCTTCCAAAAGAAAACACGACTACAAATCAGTGGTTAAGTTGAATTTACAACACTGTTCCAGAACACTTCAACCCAAATATTCAAATGTGTGCAGCACATTTTATGGAGGACTGTTTACTGATCCTGGGAGAGTAACGTTAGACTAAAATGTCGGCAGTTCTGATGTAAGTACATTGTACTTACTCACGTAAGTACATTTTCATTTAAAGGATTTGCCACTGATGATTCAAACGCGAGTTTTGGGCAGTAGAGTAGCACTTGTTGTTTGTCATTTCTCTGATCACAAATGCAGACAGAGTTTTATGTTTACGCGGCATGATGCAACGCAACGCGTAAAAAGACAGTATAAGTCATTATAATCAGTAATTATGTCCCCACTGGATGCAACAAATGCAAACCGCATAAACACATTTCATTACACCAAATACACAAAATAATGTTCTTTTTAGCAACATCGTATGACCCCTTTAAGTTTATTCCCTTTCCTACACTTACATGGCACTTACTTAGTCCCCTCACATAAACACACACACATCATACTTTAATTATCCATTAAATCCTGTTGAAAACTCCTGCTTCCCTTAAAAATGTAATCAATATTCTTCTTTGTGTCATATTTACAGTGCTTAGTAACCCTTTTAATGTGATCTCCTGCACCCCAGTCTCCCTCAGCTTATTCTTCATTACCTGCCTCTCTTACAAGTCATGATTATGTGCTCCACTGACTCCTCTTCTCGACATCCTCACACAACCCTGTCTGGTGCTTCCCTATCATCTTTAGTGTTTTATTCAGTGAACAGTGTCCCAACCCTAACCTAGTCATCACTGCATCTTCTCTCCTATTTCCAATTACCACCCTATCCTCTTTAACATTTCTCTGAATTTGGTATAAGTGCCTCCCTTTCTCCTCTCTATCCCACCTCTTTTGCCAACTTTTATTGATTTTCTCCCAAAGTATGCATTTAACCTCTGCTTTACTTAAATTTACCTGTTCTCTTTTGTTAGCACCCTTTTAGCCAGTCTATCCGCCATCTCATTACCCGTCATCCCAACGTGCTGGGACCCACAGACATTTTCTGTGAAAAATCATCTTAGAAGAAACTGCTTATACAGAATATAAAGTTAAATCAGTGTTGTGCAAAAGATCCACCAACCAATCAAGTAATTTGTTCTGCAAACACTATAATAGTTGAATCAAACAGGGAGGCAGGCACCTGTTTCTGTTGACATAGCAGCTGCACTGCAACCTCTTAGATTATTCATGTTTAACATAATGAAATGTTTAATATCTAGTTTTTCCAAAATATTTATTCTGCACTTAATGTGCTTGATTTTGCACAGCCCTTATGTATCATTTGCACCATTGTTTCTATAATATCTTACTAAAAATAACAATTAGGCCTATATAATAAATGTATAAGACCAAGTTTAAAATGCTGCATAAGATAACAGCACCTGGTGTTTTTGCTACTCTGTCAGCTTTCATAATTTAGATACATAATAGCTGAAAGCTGTCACTCAACTGTACTTAAGCTTAACCTTTGATACTCTCAGAAGCATAACATGAGCTGATCCGAAGCTGCCTGCTGCTGTATAGAATATAAAGCAACCAGTATGTGCAGGTGCAATGCAGTGCCATGTGAGCTAGTAAAAGGAAAATGATTAAATAAACTAAAAAACATAGGAAGCCAGAATAAAATGCAAAACTGGGACTTCATTGCTGTAGTCAGAGGTCTTTATATCATTTTAAGAATTATGGGTCTGTGAAGAGGGACCTACAATAAGGCGAGGTGAGTAATAATAAATTGTAATTTTTCTTCATTGTTGTCACGCGGCTGACGAGACGAGAGGCGTGCGGATCCATGTGCAAGCTTTATTTAACAAGAGAAGTGGTCAAACACAGGCAGGGTCGATCAATGGCAAACAGGTATATGGCGGGCAAAACACAAGAATAGTCCTAGGGCTAGCGTAGGTCACTGATCGGCAGACAGAATCACAAGGGCGAGACGAGAGGGAAAAATCCAGGAAAACAGGCAAAGATCAGAAACCGAGAGGCAAGGCAAGGCAAGGCAGAGACTCGGAACGGGGAACAGGCTAAACAATACTCAGCAGAGAATAGTTGTTTGAGTGGGTGTTATATAGTGAGTGAGTGATGTGAAACAGCTGTGTGCAATCAGTGCAGTGTGTAATCAGTGCAATGAATGATGGGATATGTAGTCCGGGGTGCTATGCAACAGTTTGTGTTGTGCGAGAGTCAATGTAATGGAAAGGGTGACCTCTGGTGGTGAATGAACGGAAGTCCATGGACAGGATTCGTGACAATTGTGTTGTATGAGAAAAGGAATCATTTTGGCACCTAGGAAGTGAGAATGTTGTGCTTCTTATATGCTGAATGTGGCTTCAAAAAATTAATTCAAAATCCAAGATCCCACCTAATATTTTCAGGTTTCTTCTCTATACAATGTTAATAAATGTATATGAAAAGGTTGCACATACATTTAATAAACTCTAAACAAAGTACGGAAGTTCTAAGCGGCCATGCATTCTTTTTTTTTCCCCTTCGTGTTTTCTCGTTATAACGACTTATTTTCTCGTTATATCAACATAACGAGAGTTGTTTTCTCGTTATAACGACTTAATTTTCTCGTGATCTCGACATAAAAAAAATTGTTCTCTAAGTTACAAAACTGCGCCAACAGGTGGCACTATTGACCTGAATATAACTGATGGGGTGTTGTAGGCCTCTCGTTATGTCGATATAACGAGAAAATAAGTCGTTATAACGAGAAAACAAGAAGGAAAAAAAAATAATGCATGGCCGCTTAGAACTTCCGTAACAAAGACTATTCTGGGAAAAAAAATAACTCAGACATTGCTAGAAATTTCACAATCAATTACTAAGAATCAGCAAGTAACACATTGTATGAAACATTCTTTGATTCTTTGAAGCGACAGCTGAAAACTCATCTCTTTCAACGTTACTTGACTTCCTAAATTTAAAAAAAAAAATGTAACTTTGTCTTTCTCTTTTTTTATTCCTTCCCTTTCTAGCTTGTACTTATTTGAGCACTGCCTAAAACTTGCATTACAAGCACTTCTTGTGTCTGTTTGCCTCTTTAAGAAGAATGGCTTTATGTATTCCCCAATTGCAAGTAGCTTTGGATAAAAGCGTCTGCAAAATGACTAAATGTAAATGTAAACATTTTTAAAGGTGAAAGGTCATTTTTTCAGTGAGTTTTACAGTTATTGCTCAAGTTGTTTGAATGCATGTGAAAGGACTTCCTGCACTTTTTGTGATATCAGTGTTGCAAACCAGATGTTGAAAGACTAGTGACAAAAATAACTATACTGTTTCACCATGCACCATCAAGCCAACAACATATTGGTGGGTTTTTAGCATCACATTACAATAATTATTTTAATCAAATGACAAATACATTCATTTCGAACTAGATTGCAACAAACTCTTAGCTTAGAGCTGTAATAAACAGGCCATGGCTGTATTCATATGTCAATATGTGGGATGATGAGGCTGGATATTATTGGCTAGTCTGCGTCACTCTCCTCCAGTGTTTTTCGTCTCCAGCTCAGCCACGCTTCATTCAGACGACACACAGACACCCTGCAGGGGCCACACGTCACCCTCATGGGGAACCAGAAGAATCCCTGGATCTCTGCTCTGGTCTTGGTGGGTCTTCTACATAAAGTTAGTGGACTATCCAATACCCAGGTAAGATGTTAAGACATATACTTACTATACCGTTTTTGTCTTGGTTTTGGTAATACTGCAAGTCGCTTTGGATAAAAGCGTCTGCAAAATGACTAAATGTAAATGTAAACATTTTTAAAGGTGAAAGGTCATTTTTACAGTGAGTTTTACAGTTATTGCTCAAGTTGTTTGAATGCATGTGAAAGGACTTCCTGCACTTTTTGTGATATCAGTGTTGCAAACCAGATGTTGAAAGACTAGTGACAAAAATAACTATACTGTTTCACCATGCACCATCAAGCCAACAACATATTGGTGGGT